TTCCTTTTGTTGCTACTTTGTTCACCAATGATCTTACAGAAACTGAAGTATCTCTTCTAATAGTTTGTCCAATTAAACATGCAGTATCCGCAGTAATCTTCTTTGGTTGTCCATTACCACCTTTGTGCAAAATATTGCCTGTATTTTTAATTTTTTCGATGTTAAAATAGATAGTAGAAAGGGGAATATTTGTCAGAGTGTGAAGTTCTTTAGCAGATCTCACACCCTGGTTCCAGAAATGTAATAGAGTCTGACGTTGTCTTTCTTGGTCAGATGTGGACATTTTAAAGTCAATTTTTACAACAATTGAAAAATAACAAACAAAACAGATGATCTAAAAAGATAAATTTATTATTCTCATTTGTTTTGAAAGTTACGCGACACGAATTGGATTTAATTTGAGTACAAAACATGCATTTAAACAACAGGAATAATTTTCCAATTATTTTTGTTACACACTGTAAATAATTCAAAAAAGTTTAGCCGTTTTTCTGTGAATGCTTGAAAGTTCTTCTTATCTAACTTCTGAATTACCTTGTCATTTTTCGAATTACTTTGAAAATATATTAAGTAGAACCTAAGCTTTTTATTGGTATGTGTCTTATAAGCCAAAAATAATTTTTGGTGGCCAGAAAAGGGTTTAAAGTCAGATGACGAAAAATTTAATAATGAACTATATTGATTATGTACCTTGTCGATCAACCAATCAAATTTAAGCCCGCTATGCTGCTCAAAAGTGCAAAATAACTTACGTGTTACAATATTTTGAATCTCACGACCGAATTTGGTAATGATTTTTTTTTAATGTTCGTTAAACTTTTTTGTTGTAAAGAACTTTTATTTATTAATAAAAAAAAGAAATAAATAAATCAAATAAATCAAATGTATGTTGTAAAAAATATTCTATGAAAAAAAAGTTATTGCACGAAATTTACTTAGTCTTGATTTTTTAAATGTATAACAAAATTCAGAATTTTCAAAATGCTAAGGCTCTGCCAATTTTCAGTTTAAGAAAAACCAGCCAATAAGTTTTGAAGCTTGAGTCATGAACAATAAAACTTATCGGTTAAATTTTTTAAAATGATATAATTTTTTTTTGTTTTAGCATTTTGGAGTTGACCAATTGTTACTATATACACAGTGAGTCTCAGTATAGCGGATAATTTGGGCAATTAGAACAAAATTTCAAAAATCTGTTATACCGAGATTAATTCAAGATTTAATTAGTAAATCCATTAAACCAAGAGAATTTACTTATAGACAGTTCTGAGCTTTGATCCATTAAACTGAGAGTTTTATTAGACATCCGCTATACCGAGACTCACTGTGTATAAGCAATTAATGATTATAGATGATCTGCACTGTAGTTGAAGAAAAACACCATGTGATTAAATCTATGTCATCTACTGTGCAAATTAGTTGAAATTGTACTAATTGATGATGATGATGATGATGCTAACAAATTTGTATCTTGAGAAAGTTTGGACTGAATAATGATTGTAGAACAGAAACTGGTACAGAGATACATTTTTTTAAATGCAGTTCACACCTTCCAACTGCATGATTTAATTCATAGTCACAATATTTGTATCAGTCCTATTTTGTTTAAAACCATCAGTTCTACCCAATTTGACAAAATGAAGCCAAATTTTTGATTTTGACATTTTTGACATTTCAATGAATAAAATTAATTTATATTATTTTTTTTTGAAAAATTTTAATTGGATAGAATTGTCTATGTGACATTGCATGATTTGAAAAAAAAAATCATGCACATTGCATTTTTTTTCATGCGCATGCCACATCTCTAGTCCTAATTAAGATTTCTAGTCCAAACTGTTTTCCCAAAGCCCAAACTAGTTGGGGCAATTTGGGCTTCTCAACATTTTTTATAAGCATGAACATTAAAAAACTATATGAATCAACTTGTTTTAACTTAAACAACTTTAAAATAATTTCGCCCAATTTTGGCTAATAACAAAAAGTAGTTTGGGCTTATAAAAAAATAATTTTGCCCAAAGTATTTGGGCAATTTCGGCTACTAATAGAAGCAGTTTTGACCAAAAACCTTAGTCCTAATCACAGGTATTGCAATCTTTTGGATATTGGTATCTAGATTAAAGTTATTATTAGTTATTAGTCTTAACTTTACATATTACCAATTTTTGAAGGATACTAATTGTCCATGCCTTTTCTGATGTCTTGGTTAACTAGAATGTTAACCCCTAAAACTTGCTTGCAGTGCCTTGTTAAATTTCAAAAAAAAAATTTTATTTTTTTCCTTGAATTTTTATAACAAATTAAAGTTAAAAACATGACTCAATGAGATATTAATAGTCTTATTTATTTGAAATTGCATGGGGAAGCTGCCAATAAAGGTAATAATGTAACAGTAATAAATAATAGTTATCCCCCATGAAGTGAGGGATAATAATAAGAGAGTTATCACAATAATGTATGATTGTAGATTTTGATAGTTATCATTCTGGTCTTATTCATCTCAGGGATGATAACTATTAAATCCTGATAGGTGATGAATAAACCTGAATGATAACTTAATGATCTACTTCATTACACAATATGTGACTGGGTGATAATAATAATTATCATTAGTCCTTTATAATTTATAGTTGGACCAATCTATACCCAAGGTTCCAGTGACAGCTCATGAGTATTGTGAAAGGTATACACTGATTGGTCCATTATCCATCAAGACAGCATCTGCAGAAGTGGAAGCAGAAAATCCTCATATTAAAGGAGTTCTTGATAGAATGTCAAACAAAAGTGTAATATGGATATATGGTAGATGATTAATCAAAGATGCTCCTCATGTATTATTGTTTGATACTATATATATATTAATATAATTATTCTAATAATAATTTGTAAAAACTTATTGTTAAGATGGAGTTCTTCCAAGTGGTTGAAATTTTCAGCAATACATGAATTTCAAAATTTACATGCAAGAAATAAAGAAAAAATTCATGGATTTGTTAATGGTCATTTCTATGGGTCATTACAATTGACCCTGGATAATACCTTGTATTTTTTTTATTTCTGGTCATTATCACTACAAAAATTAAGATGTTGATATGTTTATTGAATCATTAGCAAGTTAGTATTAATTTGCCATGTTAACATCATAATGAATGTGATTATTATTGTAGATATAAATATATGCATATAATATGTATAAACATATTTCAATTATTTATTCATGCTTTTGAAGGATTAAATCAAAGGTTAAAAGCATGCAATTTACAATTTCAGTAATTGTATTATTATCATGCCAACTAAAATACAATCTTTTTGCTGTTTGAGCTTTGAAAGGCCAAGTAATCACAAAACAACTGTAAAAGACATTACTGATAAAATTGGTTTCAGAAGGCCGCAAGATATGTTGGGTATGTATACATTTATAAATATATTATTATTTATGCTTTAAATATTATATTTATATTCATATATATATGTATTCAACACACAAATATGTATACAGGGGGGAAATCAATAATGTGGTGGTTGACCCTTTTGAATTATTAACTGATGAAGACAAAGTGTTACTGAAATGTCATGTCATGGCACTAAAATCTAGCATAATTCCATCAATATTAGCTCATAATATTGTTTGATCCTGAATCGGATCCAATATTGACACAATTACATCAACTGGAACTATATAGTTAACAGTTCAGATGATCATGTAAAGGTTATATTTCATCCTGAATTTCTAACTTCAAACAATCTTCTAATTGGCTTAGATTATGAGGATTTTGTATGGGTTGTCATCTAGGCGTGTTCCCATGTTATTATGAGCCATGGGGTTACACTTCTGCTGAATGCATAGTAATGGGTGTCCCATCCATCACAACCAAATTATTAGGTTTTGAATGAAATACATTAGATTATGGTATTTATGAAATCCACTAATGAATCAATTCAACAATGAGTTGATTACATGTTTACAATTTTGTCAGAAAACAAGACATCAACATATAAATCAATTTAATAAAAAGAATGATTGTCAGATTGTTAAATTGGAAATTGGTTGATATGGAATATATCAGGGCGAGAAAATTGGCATTGCATAGAGCATAACCAGATTTGTTTATTAGTAATAATGATAATATTGAAGGAAGAGCAGGAAGAGATTTTGATCTGCTCAATAATAATCATAGCAATAATAATAAATTTAGAATATTAAAATTTCATTTTGCTCCAATATCATCCAGAATCACTAATCCTTCAAATATTGGTGATAGTAACAGTATGAATGAAAATAATATACATTGTTTAAATATCAGAACTTCTGGTTCAACCATAGATGAAGAAATTGGCATCAGTGCTGGTGGCGCATATCCATTTCCATTGATTGCTAGTAGTGATAATATTAATGATGATAATGATAATGATTCTACACAACCATAGTTGATGATAAGTTCATTTTAAGCAGATTTGGGATAATTTCAGGGTAAATTCAAGATAAAAGAACAAGGATAATATTCCAATTTTTATTAATTTATGAAATTATTTTAATTAATGTGAATTATTTGTTTGATTAATTAAGTAAATAAAAAGGACAATTTTATTAAAATCTGTAAAGTTGTCAAATAACTTTGGGAAAAAATAATCAGAAAATCTATTTTTTTAATTGATTATTCGTGCATATATATTTATTATTTATTTATCTTTTGGTTTATCAAATTATTTATTATCGAACCCGTTCCGTTCCGGGAATAACAAATAATAATAATTGGAGCGTTTTAATGTCTTTCTAAATAATATGTACTTATATAAATAAATCAACAAATTATAAATAAATCCGTCCCGTTCCGATAATTATCGTTTAAAGAAAGAAGTAGGAAAATATTTAAATGATTTGACGAATTTTAGAATAAATTTTACAAACAAATAATCAATAAAGGAAAAATGAAAATTTTCTAATTTCAAATATTTTTTTCGAACTTTTTTAATCATTTTCACGAAACACGCTCATTCACTTTCAACCGTCTTCTTCCGGCACACTCTTCTATATATATATTAAACGTGTATGCAAGCCATCAGATACAGAAACCAATTGCTTGTTTATAAACGTCTCGCCGTTTTCTTCCGATACGTAGTTCTCACATTTATGCATGCATATTTAAATGTATATATAAATTAAAAATTTTTTTTGTTAAAATTTTAATCAATTAAATTTTGTGTTTTATTTTTAAAAAATTTTAAAAGCTCAAGTTTTTGATTTTTTGATATAAATAAATATAAATACTAGATAATCCAATAAATAGCATCAATGAACTCATTACCTCGACTTGTATATAAACCTCAATTTTCGCCTCTTCTTATTTCTAGAAAATTTTCTAAATTTCAAAATCTTCAAACAAAAAAATTCTTTTCATCCATCAATTGTAATAATATTAATAACAATACAATTAATAATAATAATAATAATTTTAAGAAACTCTCTAAAATTTCTTCTTGTAAAAACAAAAATTATTTTTACTTCAAGTATCATTCTACTGCTTCATCATTATTTATCAATTCACAAATGAAGAGTTCAAATCACACAAAAGTAGAAGAAGAGCTTCATGAAAACGCACACATCGATTACGATCGTGTTGCTATTAAATGGAATCCTTCAGTCGCCCAATTATACGAAGATGCTTTAAAATATGAAGAAGGTTCTGCCATTTCTTCCGCCGGTGCCTTAGTTACTGCCTCCGGTAATAAGAAAGGTCGCTCTCCAAAAGATAAACGTATTGTTGACGAGCCTAGTTCAACCAATGATATTTGGGTAAGTGTTTGTTTATATTTGTTTTAATTGACCAATCCAATTTTCAAAATAAAATTTGACCAATTAAATTACACTAAAATTCATATATATATCATTCACCTACTTTTTTTAAAATATAGTGGGGTCCCGTAAATACTAAATTACCTGAACATGTATTCCTCATCAATCGTGAACGCGCAGTTGATTACTTAAACACTCGTAAAAGAATTTATGTTTTTGATGGTTTTGCTGGATGGGATCCAAAATACAGAATTAAAGTTCGTGTAGTATGTGCTCGTGCTTATCATGCTTTGTTCATGAGAAATATGTTGATTCGTCCAACTCCTCAAGAACAAGAAAATTATGGATCACCTGATTTTACCATTTATAATGCTGGTGCTTTCCCTGCCAATCGTTATACCACCGGAATGACTTCCACAACCTCTGTTGCTATCAATTTCAAATTAAACGAAATGGTAATCTTGGGAACTGAATATGCTGGAGAAATGAAAAAAGGAGTGTAAGTATTATTTGTTATCGTTGTTTGGTAAAGAAAGAGAGTGCGTGTAAAAAAAACATCTATTTTTAGAATTATATTATTTACCCATTTACATTTATATATTATATAGTTTCACAGTTATGCATTATTTGATGCCGGTAAAACATAATGTATTGTCATTACATTCATCTGCCAATGAAGGTTCAGATGGTGATGTATCAGTGTTTTTTGGATTGTCAGGTACTGGGAAGACAACACTTTCAGCAGATCCAAAACGATATTTGATTGGCGATGATGAACATTGTTGGTCCGACGATAATGTCTTCAACATCGAGGGTGGGTGTTATGCAAAATGTATAAACCTGTCACCAGAAAAAGAACCCGAGATTTTCAATGCAATTCGATTTGGTTCAGTATTGGAGAATGTTGTTTATGATCAATACACTCGGTCAGTCAATTATGACGACAGTTCATTAACAGAAAATACACGTTGTGCCTATCCAATTGAATACATTCCAAATGCCAAGATACCCTGTGTGTCAACCAGTCATCCAAAAAATATAATTCTTCTCACCTGTGACGCATACGGTGTACTCCCACCAGTATCAAAACTTTCATCAGCGCAAGCTATGTATCATTTCATTTCCGGTTACACGGCCAAGATCGCAGGTACAGAAGATGGCATCACAGAACCCGAGGCAACATTTTCTGCCTGTTTCGGTCAACCCTTTTTAGTCTTGCATCCAGCTCGTTATGCACAAATGTTGGCAGATAAAATGGAACACCATAAGGCTAATGCCTGGTTAGTTAATACAGGATGGAGTGGCGGTGCTTATGGTGTTGGGGAAAGAATCAAATTGAAATATTCACGTGCCATAATTGATGCAATCCATAATGATGAATTGACTGCTAAAGATACAGAGTATGAGAACTACGGTGTGTTCAATTTGAATATTCCAAAAACTGTTAGCGGCGTACCATCTGAAATTTTAAATCCAGAGAAAACTTGGAAAGGATCAAAAGATGAATTCATCAACACAAGAAGAAAATTGGCTGAGCGTTTCGTTGGAAACTTTAAAAATTATCAAGATAAAACAACTTCTGAAGTAGTTGCCGCTGGTCCAAATCTTTAGTGTTAAGGTTAATTAATTAATCAAACAATTCAAGAAAAAAATATAATGCATATATAATAATCAATCATATAAATATATAAATATAAATATACAAAATTTTTTTTTAATTAATTCTTAAACATAAAAATTATTTGATTATTTTTTTATATTGTAATTAGCAATAGAAAAAGAATTTTATTAATAAAATAAAATCATACATTATTCCTTTGATAATTTGATAATCTGAAAATTAAAAAATAAACAGCCACAGATATTTAAGCCACCACAATAAATTTGAACCCCAAGATTAATCAAAAGTCCATCCGGCTTACGTTATCCCTGTAGCAGCCGATTATCTGATCGACATTTGAATTTTTGATCTCTAATTAAAAAAAAAATGAGTACGATAGAAGCTAAAGAAAACCAAGAAAACCTTATTCTAGACGAAGTTACTGGGGAAAGAGTATCTAAAAGGTTATAAGATTTTTTATTTCAAAAATAAATTGTTTTGACTGGGATATTTATAGATTTCTTTTTTGGTAAAAAAAAAGTGAATTCAAAAGACGTCTTAAAAAGAGAGAAAAAGAGGAAAAGAAGGTATATCAATGACTATGGTTCTTTCTTTGCAATAATCTATAACAATTTAATAATCAATTGATTGTAATATCTAATAATTATTATATATTTATTATGATATTCATGTTTAGGCAACAACTTCTACAGCTACAGTAAAAGTCGAGAAAGGGGAAAATGCTGAAGCTTTAGAAGAAGATTTAAATCCAAACGTAAAAAATTACTAATAAAAAAAAATTTTTTTCAGTTAAATAAATTATCAACAAAAAATTTTTTTTATTAAATAAATAAATAGCAATATTTTGAAATTCGATCTAAGCTAGTTCGAAAACTTCGAGAATCTCATAATCCAAGTCCTTATCCGTATAAATTCCATGTAGATATTTCCATTCCAACCTTTATTAAAAAATATGAAAATCTTGAACCGGGACAACATTTGGATGAAGTGGTTCATGTAGCTGGCAGAATTCATAATAAAAGAGCAAGTGGTGCTAAATTAAGATTTTATGATTTGCACTCTGAAGGTGTTAAAATTCAAATCATGGCTCAAGCACAGTAAGTAACGATAATAAAATAATTGGAATAATTTATTTTTGAAAGTTTTCTATATATATATATATCTTATTAATAATAATATATTAGAGACTCAGAAAGAGATTTTAATGAAGTTCATGATATACTTCGGCGTGGTGATATCGTGGGAGTATATGGATGTCCAGGAAAATCCAAACGTGGAGAATTATCTATTTTTCCTAAAGATATTATACTTCTCTCGCCTTGCCTACGCATGTTACCTAAAGCACATTATGGATTTAAGGATCAGGAAACACGGTATCGGCAACGATATTTGGATTTGATTATGAATAATAATGTTCGAGACAAATTTATAGTTAGATCCAAAATTATTAATTATGTCAGAAAGTTCTTGGATGATCTTGAATTTCTTGAGGTGGAAACACCTATGATGAATATGATTGCAGGTGGTGCAACAGCCAAACCATTTATCACTCATCATAACGATCTTAAACTTGATTTGTTCATGAGAGTGGCACCAGAATTATACTTGAAGATGTTGATTGTCGGTGGATTGGATAGAGTTTATGAGATTGGACGTCAGTTTCGTAATGAATCAATTGACTTAACACACAACCCAGAATTTACAACATGTGAATTTTATATGGCGTATGCTGACATGTATGATTTGATGGAGATTACTGAGAAGATGTTATCGGGTATGATCAAGTCCATTAAAGGCGATTACAAGCTCGTTTATCATCCACACGGACCTGATGGACCAGCAATGGATATAGATTTCACACCGCCTTTTAAACGGTTTAATATTATTGAAACATTGGAAACAAAATTGAATGTCAAGTTTCCGCCGGCTTCTGAATTGCACACTGAAGAAACTAACAAGTTTCTTTTAGAGCTTTGTAAAAAACATGAAGTTGAATGTTCGTCACCAAGAACCAACTCAAGATTATTAGATAAAGTAAAAAAATCGATTAAAATTTTTTTCTTGTGATTTTTCAAAAAAAAAAAAAAAAAATTAATTATTGATAATAATTCTTTTTTAATTAGCTTGTTGGAGATTTTATTGAAGTTGATTGTGTGTCACCAACGTTTATTGTTGGACATCCACAAATGATGTCACCATTAGCCAAGGGTCATCGAGATATTCCTGGACTTTGTGAACGATTTGAATTGTTTGTGGCGACCAAAGAAATATGCAATGCCTATACTGAATTAAACGATCCATTTGATCAACGAGACCGTTTTGAGGAACAAGCGCGTCAGAAAGAACAAGGTGATGATGAAGCACAACTTATTGATGAGACTTTTTGTACAAGTTTGGAATATGGATTACCTCCAACGTAAGTTTAAATTTTTTCCTTGTGTGGTAATTGTATTTTTTTTATTTTATTTATCTGAACTTATTTTATTTTGGAAGTGGTGGATGGGGAATGGGAATTGATCGTCTTACCATGTTTTTAACCGATAGCTCTAATATCAAAGAGGTAATATTTTTATTTCGGAATATATCTTTATTGGATGATTAAAAATATAATAAATTTTTTTTGTTATAAAATAGGTTTTACTTTTCCCTGCAATGAAACCAATTGAAGAAAAAACAGATAAAGCTTAATTTAATAAAAAAAAAAAAATAATAAAAATCATATAGTAATGACAATAATTTATGACTTATATAATATGTTAACATTTATTTATTTAAACAAAAAAAAAATTAATATTTATTAAATCATTTGTTGAGCGGTTAGTCTTGGTTTGGGCTGGTCTTGATATTCCCAATGTAAATCGTAAACATCATAATTTCCCATGTATTCCCAACCTAATTCTTTTACATGATAAACTAAATAAAAAAATTATGTTAGCAAAAATTTTTAATTATAATAATAATAGATTTTTTTTACTAACCATTAATTGATCCGCCAGATGCACCATCTCTATAAGTTGCTTGATAAACTGAACGTCTTCCCAATTCTAAAGCATCCTTTACGCTCATATCATAATCAAATTCACTATCCATTACACCATAAGCAAATGTTGATCCTGATCCAACTGAAAACCTTTCTCCTTTCAATCTTGAACCATCTGAATCAACATAAAACAAATTAGGTCCCTTTAAAATAAAGCAAAGAAAATCAAAAGGAATCGATTGGTTGATTAAATTCTATGAAAATTTGGTCAAAAAAAGTAGAGAATTAAAAAAGATTACTAACTGTTTTGTCCCATCCAGTTACCATGGTTCCCTAAATAATGATAATGATAATAATAAATAAGGTGTTACATAATAACATACTACCATATATATATATAACAATATATGATATGAGATATTGTAAATACCATGGAAAGGTCCATTCCTTTATAAGGGTAAACCATATTTGCTAATAATTTCGATGCAGCTGCTACCGAAATACGTTCTTTGTTTCTTAATTCATGCAATCTAATATAATTGATAATATAAATGAATAAATGGTTTACAAAGATGATAGATTTATTGATTGATTAATTGATTTACCTGCATCGACGACCGAGTTCTCTTTCCCAAAACGAACAGTCAGCAGCGCCGCCTGCCATAGTTCCCAAAAGATATGGGTTTATTTCAATAACTTTTTTCACAGTTGCTGACGCTAATATTTGAAAAATAATAATTATAATTATAAATATATAAATAATATATAATTATCATTATATTAGTAATTACAAATTATGAAAATATTATTTTGATTCTATTATAATTACCAATGTATTCTCCAGATGAAGCTCTAGAATCTACGGCAACAACAATTCCTGAATTGAATTTAAAAGCAAGAGTCGTTGTACCATGATCTAACTTTATACGACATTCTTCTTTGGAATCCTTGTCAGTATGTGCTTTTAAGAATTCAACTGGCTACGTATTTATATATTTGTAAATCACAAAGCAATACCAAACTCAATCAATTAGTTTCTTTATAAAAGAACTCTTACATTATGGCAAGCTGGAAATTCGAAATTTGGACTGGCAAATTCATTTGCATCATCAAATCCGCGTCCTCCATAACCAAGAAATTCATTAAATACATTTCTATCGATTGAGGAAAAGGTAGTTTTTCTAAAATTATTAACAAAAGTATCCATGGTTTAATTTTAAATTTTTTTTTTGATCTAATAAATTTGACATTTGGTTACACAGTACACATCATACATTTTATAAATGAATTTTCTACTGGGGATTGGCAATAATCATGATTTTTGATTTTGGTTCCAGTTTTTTTTATTCATATGATGATAATGGAGGTATGTAAAATTTTGGTTTTTTTTTAATATAATGATAATAATGGAATTTTAATTAACTAAAGTTATTTTTAATAAACAACAAAGCAAATCATTAGCAATGCAGGCAAAGACTTTTGTAAATTAGCATCTAATACTCATTAAAGTTCATGACACTTGATTAATTCAAGATATGCTCTTAAAACTTTTAAATTGTAAGTAGATGTGTTGCTTTATATCCGCTTTATTGATGCATTAATTGATTGCTTCTAATGGATTTGGAACAGATGGTATTGCATTGGTTAAAAATGATAGAAGTTCATCAATTGGATTAATTTATATTCAAATTTAAATTTAAGTAAATTATTAAATTTTTGCGGAAAAGACCAAAATTGAGAAGTTTTTGGTAGAATTTGACAATTTTTTCACTTCGCTTAAAGAAAAAACTAGTTACCAAGCCGAAATAGGAGTTCCTAACGGTCCGGAAATACAAAATAAATTAGTAACGGTTCAGAAAGATAAAAATAAGATGAGATTTTATTCGTATAACTTTCTGTCCCAACCTCGTTTTTAGCTCCTGATGTTTCGGTTTCAAGTTTGACATCTAATATCCAAGTGGTACAAACATGCACATGATAAAGAGATGACAACACCAGCTTCAGCTCAAATGCTTTCAATTACATTATATATGAAGTGATTTTTTCTGTATTATATTTTCAATATATTTAACTAGACTTGATGAAATGGTGAATGTTGAATATTATTTTCATTAACTGCATATATCAATCAATCCATGTTAATTTGACATATAGGAAAAGGAGTTGCTTATAGTTTTGATCCAGTTGGTTCATATGAACCATTGATTTGTTGTACCGGAGAATTAACAGCAACATTGGTTCAACCTTTTCTAGATAATCAAGTAAAAAATTTTTACGCTGGTGATACATTATTACTATTACTATTATTGTGTTAACCATATGTTATTAAAATCTTATCATAATTATTAATTGTATTTTACATGTGCATCTAATTCAGGTTGAATTTAATAATCAACTGAATGTTGAAAAATGTTATTATAACTTGATAAAGTGTTTATTATCACAAAATATGCATTTACATCAGCTGTAGAAGGAGATATATACACTGCCAATTGTTTAGAAATATTTATTATGACAAAAGGTGGAGTTTAAGTTCAAAAACAATGATTTAAAGAAAGATTAAAGATTTAAATACATAGGTAGGTAGGTAGGGAAATGAATTTAAAAAGCAAAAGAATTATTTTTCATTTAATAACAAAAATAAAATTAATAATTTAAATAATAATAATTTATACATAATATATATATAATTATAACATTACAATTCCAACTTTTTCACTTGTTGTATCTTTACATCTCCAATTATACATGTAATAATTTAAATATCCATCACCTGCACCAAATTTAAGATCATTAATAAATACTTTATTATCCATAATATCAAGGCAATTAAAAACATCAACATTTTTCTGTTATAAAATGTGGGAAAAAATTAAATTAATATATATATATATATATATATATATATAATATTATATATATATTAAATATACTAAACTAATTTAGCCAAAATCAAAGCATCTTTCATTAATGACTGCAATTTTCCTTTAATTCCTTCTTCATCAGTTTCTTTAATTGCATAATAAAAAAGATAAACTGCATTTATAGTTTTATGTGTTGGATTACCAATAACTGATGAAGGTAAATAATAAAATGAAAAAAAGTCTGTGATTTCTTTAGTTTCTGTATCCTAAATGATAATATTTTAAAATTAGAAATGTTCAATTAAATATATTGCAATAATCTTATTAATATTATCATCATCATTATTAATAACAATAATAACCTCAACAACATATGACCAGACAACATTTTCTCTAGGTAAAATCCAATGTTTGATTTCATCATCATTTTTAAATTCAGGCACAAAATCAAATTTTTCCATGTATGAATTTAATAAATTTCTAACTGCTGAAGCATCTTTTTCTAACATTTCTCTAATTCCAGGTGTTACAGTTTTAGTTGACACTTTATATTTTTTAACATATCGTGATAATGGCACATTTTGTGGTAAGCGTGAAAAATTTGTTTCAACCAATTTCTTTGGATTAAGAGATCTATGAAAATATCTAAAATAACAAAGAAACTATTAATTAATGGCTCATTAGATGATAATTGTAAAACAATTATTTAATAACCAAGTATCATTTATTATACCTTGCCTTGGAAATAGGTTTTGGTAATACAACTCCAGCAGTGTAAACAGCTTGAAATATTCCTTGTAGGTGAGATCTACGTGTAATTTCTTTAATTAACACAGGTGCTAATCTTTTACTTCTAAGTTTCTTGTGAACACACAAGAAATTAATTTCAACAAGATTTTGTCTACTATAAAATTAAAAAAAGTAAAAGTAGAAAAACAAGAGGAAAGGAAATTAATTCAAAAATTATTTATTATAATAATTAATTGATTATTATTTAATCTTACGAATTATATATTCTAATATTTCCAGGAATCCCACTCACAAATGCAACAAGTTTTTTTGATGCAATAACACGAACTCCAGCATGCCAAACTTTTAAATAACCTGGTGGCATAAGTGCCCTTTATTCCCCCAAAAAATGAAAATTAAATTAAATTACACTCATAAATAACAATCCTCCATCAAAAAAAAAATAATAATAATATTTTACCATTTCAAAAATTCAGGTGAATAATCAAACCTAAACATTGCATCATCATCCTCCACATAATTATTTGTTAAAAGATTATAAAGTTCTTTCAACTATTAAAACAAATTTTTCATTAATTATTAATTATGAATTAATAATTTTTAAATTAATTGCAAGTTACCTCATTTTCATTGTTTAATTCTAACGAAGTCCATTCAAATTCCTTTGGTAGATTATAAGGATCTTTACGAATTTCATCATGGGGGGTATTTTTTTCTATTGCTTCATTCTTCTCAATTACTTCATCTATTAAATGTAGAAATGATATTTTGATATTACAGTATTAATAATTAATAACAATAAGTCACCAATCATCATCATGATAATCAATATTACCAAGTTTTGGCACAGGTTGAGTATTCCAAAATTTATGATCTTTGGCACTAGCCGAAGTGGTAGGCTGTGGATTGATTGCATCCCAAAGTGCCAATTGATTAACTAATAGTCTAACTTTTTCTTGCAATGCTGCTGCTGCTGCTGTCTCTTCAGTAGCATTGGTACTAACAACAGTCTTGGTTGTATCATCAACAGTTACATTATCAACATCCTCACTTTCTTTATTACCATTCTTATCAATCTCTTCACCACTCATTTCTTTTCAACAAACTTTAAACTAATAATTACGGTTTTTTTAAAAAAAAATTACTAATTTTTAAAAAAACATTAAATAGGGAAAGTAGATAAACTGCGATCTTTAAGAGTAGAGTGTAGGAAACACGAATTTTACTATGATACAGTAGTAGTAGATAATTTTTTGACTGCCGATCAAAAATATTAGTGTAGTCATGATAACACTATTACTATTACTATTATTATTATATATACATAACAGTAATATAAAAAAAATTATTTTTATTTCATTTATATTAAATATTTAATATAACATTGTTCTTTTCTTTTATGACATCCTTTAGCAAATAAAAAAAATAAAATAAACAGGCTACAGTTCACTCTCTCTATAACAAACACTAAGTAAAATCTCTATAATGAACCTCCCTTTTGTCCCTGATTTTTTTTTTTATAATTAATTTCTCTCTCTATAACGAACATCTTAGTATTTATAATGAAAAAAGGTACATATATGGACGGAAGGTTCATTAAAATATGATGTTAGTTAATTATATTAATTATTTTAATTATTTTCACAAAATAACGTATTAATTATATTAATTATTTCAGAAAATACCAAGTAAAATTACAGGAAGCTCCCACGTTTTGTTTAAAGTAAAAGAAAATTTGATATAACTTCCACAAAGAATAGTATATATATAGAACAAATAGTATATGTAGAGTAGGCGGAGATATATTGCTATCTTGTTATTGACTTCTATTACCATCCCTCAACTCATCTATATAGTTGTTTTCAAATCCAAATTACATGGGTAAAACTAATATCACTTACACATACCTTGATTAAAAACAGGCAATTTTCTTTGGTATTTAATAATATGGTCATTATTCACTTAATTTATTATTTTTTATTAATATATTGTAGAAAATTTTATGTTTTATTAACAAAATGTCCCTAACTTTATCTAACAATTACCATATATATGATTGTATATATGCTGAAAAATGGATTTTGTGTTAATTTTGAAGCAAGTGATTTAAAAGAGGTTCGGGAATTATTTATCCTCGCCGATCATTATATAAAATCACATGACTATAATGATTTCGTTTACGAGACTGATGATTCTGGTGATGAATGGTTTTAATGAAAGCATGTTCGGATTATTCGTTTTATTCGTTTTATATATTTGTTTTATTCATTTATTTGAGTAAAATTTAAGATTGAGTCATGTGATGTTATAAACCCATGACACAAAAGAGTATCATTACTATTTTGAGATTTGAAGATTTGGGCAGTGCGGCACAGCATTTGATATCTTTTAGATGTCGCGCACTATATTAACAAAAAAAAAGAAAATAAATAATACAAATAAATCAATATATGTTAGAAGATATTCTACGAAAAAAATTAAATTTACTTAGTCTCAATTTCTCAAGTGTATAACAAAGTTTGGAATTTTCAAAATGCTAAGGCTCTGCCAATTTTTAGTTTAAAAAAAAGCTAGCCGATAAGTTTTGAAGCTTGAGTCACGAACAATAAAACTTATCGGTTAACTTTTTTAAAATGATATAAAATCTTCGTTTTGGTATTTTGCTGACCAATTATAA